GGCGTTTTGCATGCATTTTTGATGCTCTCCCTATATATGGATGCATTGTCTCCTGGTACTCTGGTTTCCTCTCACAATCTATCCACTGCAATTGGGCTAACATAAATTCTTTAAACCCTTGGCAGATCTAGGTCTGATTATCAGTAGCCGCTGAAAAAATGTTTATTGCTGCAAAAAAAAAAAAAAAAAAAGTCCCTCTACTGAGTTCAAGTCCAACTTTGGCTCGTAAAAGTTCTTTCATCACTTTTTTATATGCTCTGCTTCAAATACTTTGTTTACAAGTTTATGATTGTTGATTAATCATTTACCAGAGAATATTACCTTAATTTGACAGAGATGTTAAATAACATGATGCGGTCAAGAATTTGGCTGCACCTAACTTCTGTGCTGGTCTGCCTATGAAATAAACATTTGGTGCACCGGTGCAAAAAGCTGTAGGTCCATGAGAACCTGAGCTACAGAATCAAACTTATACCTGATGATTTTTTGAGATAGGAGATGGATAAAAATCATGAAACTGGAAAACTCATAATGGAAAGTCATTACACTACATCACAAAGTTCTACTTCCATTTGTGAAGATCAGCAGAGATGAAAGTTTGGTTGAGTTTTCTCTGCACCTTGCAGCATCTAATGCACTGTATATTTTGGTAGTTAGGACTCTTATATGGAGCTATTACAAACCAGGAGAGGTGGAGAGGTTGGAGGTTACTGCTCAGTGAAGTCAGCACAAAAAATGTACATCTTTCATGTGAGCATCAGTGTGGAGAAGAGATCATATTCTCTGTGTAGCCCAAAATAAACTTTATTCATGTGAGTAAAAGTTTTCACTGCACTGACATAAGAATGGCTGTCAAAGAATGGCAACATTTTTAATCAAAATCCTTACATTTTATTGGGCTGATAATTTGACAAAGTGTTTGACTCTATTTTTCATTTTATCCCATCCTTTTACTTGTTTGTGCTTTAATGTCCTTCAGAACAGTTTGTATTGATGCATTTCCCATTGATGCTACATTTATTTCTATCAAAATATTTGCATTTTTTTTATCTGACTATGTGGCTATTGTTACTTCAGTGGAGTGGAGATCAAATGTTAAAAATAAACTGCTGTTGATGATTTTATTTTAGAAAACTGGAATAAAGATATCAAAAGACAAGTGCACACTGCACAGATACATTAATATCTAACCTCAAGATATTAAGCTTATGGTCATAATGAAGCTGCTACATTCAGATTTCAATGTGAACGTAATGTTTTATAGCTGAGAAAAAATGTTTACCTCAAAGAGAGAAATATAAGGACAAAAACTTGAGAATAAGCATGCATTCAGACTTTAAACATTTGTAATTAAATGCTCTTCTCTAAGTTCTTTCTTTTAGTTTACATGTCTCCTTCTCCCTTTCCCCTCTCACTCTTTCACAAGAGTCTGAGATAAGAAGCTGACATCACTTTGCATGAGCTTATTTTACTTGAAGCCAATAAAATCCAGGTTGCACGCAAAGAGGTGCAGCAGAAGGACAAAAAACAGGTTTCTGTCATAGTAATCAATCTCATGAAGAAGTGACTTCATATTTTATGACCTGACATACTTCAGCAGTGAATGCTCAAAGTTTATTTTTCTTTTTAGCCTATTGAAGTGCAGACAACTCCAAGACATAGAGACAGTGGTGATGTTGATAATCATATGCTATATGTGTTGCATTGTGGTGCATTAGGCTTCATAGAGAAATAAATGGCTGGTTATAGATACTTTAAATGCAATCAGCAGCCAAGTCTCTGTTTGGATTTGATTATCTGTGTGAGACAGATGATTCGTATCATCCAGCTCAGACGTCAGTGCAGCCAAAATGCTTTTAGTCGCACTGCACAATTTCTTATGCAAATGCACTTTCTGTAATCTGACAGTCCGGAACAGCTCACAACCAGCTGTAGTTATGAGATGAATGTGTAATTGCTGGTTTTTTTGCCTCATTTTCCAAAAGGTACATATATATATTTCCATCTGTTGAATTTCTACAAATATATTTTAAAAGCAGCAAGCCTGTCATGTAATTGCAACACACATGGAGGTTTGTTCAGTTTTCTGAACCAAGCAGGGTCTTTTCTTTTTGTTTCATCTTCACACCTTCATCTCTGCTGCCCAGCTGATCTGGCTCTGAGAGGACAAAGGTCAGGTTTTCTTTACAAAGATTGGTCATGTAGTTTTGTTCTGTTTCTTTTGCACAAGTTTACATTCCATGGAGCCTTAACCATATTCCAGATGTGTACAGAAAAAAACATAAAACAATATTTTGTACAGCCTTCTTTCCCACTTGACTGCACAATATTAAGAATGATTTTCATTGCTTTTAAGCAATTAAGAAGCATGTTACTGCATGTATTAGTAACATCTATTGATTGCACAGAAGGGAGACAAAAGCACTCATAAATTTCATCCCTACCATTTGCCTTTAAATTACTGCTTTTCCTTTTGACAAGTCTTGCAACATTTAAGGGGTGTTACTACTTGCTTGGTTTTGTAATTACAAACTCAAATCTTCTACACAAAACAAATCTCTCACTTTCTAATCATGATTTATATTAGTTGTTTTATATTTTTCTGCCTGACAGCTTTTAGCCTTTACTTGAAGACAGTAATATAAACTTCCATCAAATGGAATAAGTGCTGGCTAAAAACTCAGTTCTTATTTAGTTAATTTAGTTGAGAAATTATTGTTTTTAAGAGTTTTAAATATTTCTCTAAAGTTTGGTTCGAGAAAATATCCAAAAATTTAAATCTATATTCCCTGAGAAATGTTGGTTTGCCTTAAAACCAATGTGACTTATTTTTACATTGCAAAATGTGTATTTGTTACATTGAAAATAATATATGTGCATGCTGTGCACTCTAAATGGCAAAAATGTAAGTTGTTGTTGTTTAAATAAGTTTATTTTTCCAAATTGCTGTCACATCAGTGCTTGAAAAAAAGCCTTTTTGAAATTATTTTTAGATGGATTTGGCGAAAATGAGATTGTGATTCAGAGTGAGAGGAGGAGGCTTTTGCTGCTTGTTAGTAGAGGTTATTTTTTGCTATCTCTAAGGGGTAAATTGTAGGTGGGACAATGAATTGGCCTTGAGTTATTTCTCCTTCCATCATCCAGTAGACATCACTGATCAAATCTTTTGACAAAACTTGACAGAGTATTATTTGTCATTGGGTAGAACTGTTACTGTTTGGCCTAAACAAGGAGATATTTTTGTCACATATAACATGACAAATTGTTGCATGTTGTTATTACATTTAGGCTTTTGCACTAAATTACATTCATGTGCAACCAGTTAAATTAAGTTGTTCAACCATGCATTGCAGATACAGTTTAGTTTTGATTTTATTAGTTTCCTGAAAAAATAATACAAACAAATATTTGGATGGAGTTAAAAGACACACTGAGAGGGTAACATAGATCAGATCTGTTCACACCATAAATTATGTTGGATGGAGAAGTGAGTAGGAGATAAAGATTGGCCAGATGCCAGGAAGAAACTGGGACTAATGAGCCGGAGATGGGTTAGGGTTCAACAGTTTATGATAAGAGGGAGGGAACCTTTCTTTCCAACTTCTTTTAACCTGACCTGTTCAGATCTTGCTTTCATCTTATAATACCTCTGGATAGACACAAGGACATTCACTTAATTTTCAAGTATCAAAGATGTTTTCTTATGATTTCAGTGACTCTTAACAACAGACCTTGAAAAGAAAGTTACAGCAATGTAATCAAGTAAAAATACTAAACCTAAGGATTCAAACCAGGATCTATAAAGTTTTTAAGTTGTGCCTCATTACTAAAGTCTCCTCTTGCCCCACATTGCTTAATCAGTATTCTCTTAGCATGTTTGGCATAGGATTAAATGTAAAATACTGTTTTTTTTTCAAAGTCTAACACACTGTGCCACCTGGTGTTCAGGCAAGGCTGAACTAAAACTGAAGGAGAAACCGCACTGACTTTGATCTGCAAAAGGTGTCAAAGTTCCTGCTGAGAATAAAAAAAGGGGAAATGTTAATAAGATGCTTTTAAATGCATGTAAATGCTCTAATGAGCAATGCTATCTTTAATTTAAGCCCGGAGGGAAGTTTGGGGTGATTATAATTACATGTCTAATTAGACATCGTCTTATTAGAGAAACTTTTTAAACTTTTAATACTGCTACTACTGTTTATCAAGAACTTGTGAAATGCATTTTGAAAAAGTTTATTGGAATTTTTGTTGAAGAGACAAACATTCTGTGGAAGCCAACTCTTTTCCAGGGCTTTTATGTCCGTTTCAATATTTGAATGAGAAATAAAATACAATATATAGGTTGCATACGGTTTACATTTCTTCTATTAAAATGTAGACTGTGCTGCAAAAAATTCTGTTCTTTCTTTCCTTTAGTTTTTCATGTCATAAAAAAGTTGTAAAATTTTAAATATGAGCAAATCTGTTTAAGAATATGGCATGACTTTTCATAATCCAAGTCTGTACTTTTATGAGATTTGAATAACTTAAATTAAAATGTTTTGACAAACTGAATGTGTGTTTTTTTTAATCACTTGTGGCCATAAATGAACCAAACATAAATGGTTAACTACGTTACTTTGTAAAATACACAAGTTTCTCTTTTTGAACTGAATTCAAAAAAATCAATCTAACTTTTTATTCATTTATCTGCTTCATCTAAGTGTGGTTTTCTGGACACTGACTAAAATCAGCCTGCTGGCCACATGAGAACAAACTAACAGAAAGTTGCATTTTGTTGAAGATCAACAAAAATCATTCATTTCTTGTGCACTCATTGAAAGTTAAAGGTTGCCTCTATACACGTGCACAGGTCATTTCAATCAGTAGCGCGTCAGCAGGGACAGCCTCGGCCAAATGGATCGTGTTAGTTAAATGTAGTGTGTCGGTGACGGAGACTGCGAGAACGAGTGAGTGCTTCCGTTACTTCAGGGCTGAAAAAAGGAGGAGGGACTTGACCGGAGCGGTTTAATGTCTGCTGTGAGTTCACCCAAAGCGAAACGGCGTCAACTCCTCCGCAGCAGACTGTCCGGACACAATCCGCGTTCGAGGTTCTTCCAACTCTTTGGAGTGGTTTCTGCACTCCTCTTTTTACAGGGTGCCCCTGTCTCCAGAGTCCCAGCCAGCAGTGCGCTCTTCAGCTCGCCGGCTTTTTGCGCACGGACGTGTCTCCAAATTCCGCCACTCGTCTTTGCTGCGCTGCGCTCCTTCCACTCAGCTGAGCATTCCCGACCGTCAACTACAGTCGGCGGTTTCTTTCTTGTTTTGCTCTCTCTATGACTTATTTGTTGTTTTACTGAAGAGCAGCGGGGTTTTGGCTCATGGGCATTTAGTGTCGTGACATGCTTTCGGGACCCGGCGCCTTCACAGAGAAATGGTGAGTGAACTTCTTTCTGCCAGGCATTTCTGTGCCCGCTTCCAGTTTGTTTATGTTCTGCGTGAAAAGGTGAACCCTTCAGATAAACTGTCGCTCACACACCAAAGAACGCGTTACCTCCACCTGTCGTGCAACCACTTTTAGAGTGTCGGAATTCCCAAATGAATGACGATATTAGGAATACAGAAAATTTGATTTCTTAATTTTTTTTTTTATACCTCTGTGTTTCACCAGGTCTAATTCAGGTGTTTATAATCCATAAGTATTTTTTTTTTTATTCAGAAGGATTTGGTGGATAATCCCCCACAACGTTGTGGTGTTTGTTGCCAAGTTTCATTTCACTTTCACTGTGAAATGCACCAAAACAGTCTAAATCTAATTCCACGTTTTCCATACATTTGATCACTGCACATCCAGGCGGACTTGTAGCTACCCTTTTAAATGCATCAATGATCCATTGATAAGGAGGGAAGTGGATACATAGACGGAGTGAACTGTCACATGCGTGTCACAGCCAGTATTTTCAATTATGTTCAACATTTGAGTAATGGATAGTTTAATGTGTAGGTAATTTGGCTGGAATTGTATTACAAGTTTGATCATGACAGGTTACAGTAGAGCATTCATCAAGTTTTGATTGTCAAGCTGACAAGAAATTACCCACGTTTGAATGAAACGTGGGTAATTTGGGCTGTGGAGGTCAGTCATTTTTAAATGTTATTTAGAAACTGAGTATGAGGTTCTGTGATTTTATAGTTGGAATTCATCACTCTCTTACAACAGTTTTGCCTTCTCTGTGTGCAAACGTTTTCACAATGACTTGTGCGAAGGCCTGTGATAGCAATCTTTTATGTAATATTTATGGTCTAATCCTGCAGACAATCCATTTTCTATCGATCAAAGGTTGAGGTACAATGTGTCGTTTCATTGGCTCAGATGTTGATTGGAGGATCACAGTTTTATAATTTACAGTTTACAGTCTGGAGCTTGCCCTGAACAACCCTTCTAGATGAGCTGGAGAGCAGCCAAACTGCAATTTTACACACAGATGACTCCAGGTGTTAGTTAGTATAGGGGATAGATCTCCTTCGACAAGATTTTGTTTTTCATGTGATACTGTTGAGCAAAGAAAATTTACCACTTTCTACCTTTCTTGCTTAGGAGACAGCTCTGCAATAAATGCATCTGATTGTGAAAGTCCCTTAGACACAGTTCAATATAGAACAGCTGCAGTTATCAGATGTGACTGCGATTGTATTCATTATTGTAACTATTCTTTGCTGTGGCATTTGTGAATTACTGATGGCATACTGGTACCATGAGCTTCCTATTTTCTATTTTTATGCCATTTAAAAAATATATATATTTGCAATTAAATAAATGAAAAATCTTGACATCAAATATATTCCAGAAAATAGCAAAAAAGTGAAATTTTACAGAGATCTATTTTTGACAGCCTATAAAAATTAAGTGAAATATTGTGCTCTGCAAAATCTTTGAGGCATTTTGTTGTAATTTTTAATGTTTTATGTTATGTGGTTAACTATGAGCTGACCCACTGTAAGAGTTTATACTGCATCCACCTTTGAATCCCTGCAGGGGAATTCTAAGCAGTTATGGAAAGTACAGTGCTGTGTATAGTGGCTGTCTGTTTCTGTGGGGATGATGCCAATGGGTCGCACTCAGAAAACATACAGATGCATCTCCAGTGGCAAAACCTTTATTGGCTTGTTTTTGGTTGGGTAATGTTTGTGATTCATTATTACAAATAAACCTAAGCTTGTTGAAAATATAGATGGAGTTGTAGTTGGCATAAGACTGTAATTTTTATTCATCAACCATTCCCTGAATGTCTGGTACAGGAGATTCAAGTATTTCTCAAATATGCATGAATTAAAGCAACATTCCAGGTATGTTTTTGATGAGGAAACAACATTAAAACATAATATCAAGCTTTAAAAAGCCTTTGCCCCCTTTGATCCTGTCAAAGTATGATTCCTGAACCTAACATCTAGTTACTGACATGTTTTATTACAATGTGGAGACCATTGGTTCTTCCAGTGGTGGGTGAGGATATTCTTCTAGCTAAAGTCTTCATTGACAAAGTAAACAATAATGCCTTGTCTTCATGCCCCTAAACAGTAGCTACAACTCAAACTTACCCTACTTATCTACAACAAATGGTAAATTATGTCACAAGATGGCAGGTTTTGCCGAGGCAGGTTATGATTTTAATACCCAAAAAGAACGATGAAGGAATTTTAAAGCCACTAATTGAGTGTCTAAAGTTGTTCCTGTTATTCATCTGCAAAGTAAATAAATTCAATTCAATTAGGGGAGAGCTCTAAAGAGCTGCAATATGGTTGTGTGTACACGTGTGTGTGCGTGTGTTTGAAAATGAAAAACTGTACAGACTGCATATCAGCATTCTGGCTGCATATCAGTCTGAATGCTGATATGCAGTTTTTCTTATCTTATTTATATCAACATGCAAGATTTAAGTTGGAACGATTTGCTCTTTATACTAAAATGCACATTGTTTGTCTGGAATCAGTATGAAGCAACAGGGTTTAACCAGGATGCGTTACCATGTTGTTGTATAGAACTGTCAATATAGTTTGATGCTAAGTGGTTTGGTAACATGCAGTCTGGTACACATTGTATAGAACAACAAGAAACTTTGATTGCAGGGCAGAAAGTCCAGAATGTCAGTTAATGTGCTGACACTCAGTAGTTTGTTATTACATACATGAAGGGGCAGAATAACTCTGCATGCAGGGTAGATGATGTAAATATGAGGCTAACGAGGCTGGAGAGAGCCACAACAACACTGCAGATGGTGACTGGTGGTGGACTTTATACAATGATGCTCCTACTTTGTTTTGATAATGACTTTATATTGCAGCTATGAAAGACATTTGTGATGCTGTTTATGATAAAGATTTTCTTACATGCATAATACCAACCTGATGTTTGATTTGCGTGAATTATCAAGTCCCGCTATCTTTTGCTGAGTCATCTACTAGCTTCTGGCATCAGTCTGACTGAAAGTTTTACCACTTCTCTTGGTGGAATTTTAGTTAATTTTATTTGTTAGGTTTTCTGGCACAAACCTTAACACATTTTAAATGGGGCAGGGCTTTAGGAAGGGTACATTTACTGCTTTTCATCAAATAAACAGAAATGGTTCATGACGTCACAGAATATCAAAATTATTAATAAAAGAGAGAGAATGTTGTACTGAAGTGGCAGTCCATGATGCAATATGGAAATGGAATATACAAACCATAAAAATGGCTTTAAAGCCCTAAGTACTTTTCCCAGAACTGAGGAGGAAATGCAGCTGAAAGAAACTGGTATTAAGGTGTCCTCCTCGCAGAGACCGCCGTAAAAAAGGGTATTATTTTGTATCTCTGCTGATTCCTTGTTCACTTTTGTGTTAATCAGCTCCGCTTCTGCTTGGCCTTCTGTGAATTGACCAGCTGCATCTGCAGTCACAATTTCTCATATAATAAGAGTCTTGTTTGACATGAACTTGTGTTTGGTTTATAGATATGCTGCTTGCTTTCCTTATCGCTCTCTTGTTTAAGGAATTTTACAATATAAAGAAGGTTTTCAGTAGGAATAAATTAATAGTTTATTTTTCTGATCAATTTTTTGGGGTTGATCTGACAAAGTTGCGACCAGCACAGCAGTAATGGTAACAGAAGAGTCTGTCTCAGTATACTGTCTCATTATACAAAATACTTTCTTTGCGTGCAGATGTAACAATATGCATTTAAAGTGCTAGTAGTACATTAAAACATAGTAGTTATTTCTTGGGTTGAAAATTGGGGTTTTGAGCAATTGTATTTTCACATCAAGCAACTCCTGGAACATTTCTCTTGTAACTCAATTTTTTGGAGTGCACAGATAAAAACTTTATCTGAAGTTGGTAGATGTTTGCAGGAATGGGTGGGTTGAAATGTCATCACAAAAGACTGATAAAAGTAGTCTTGATTCCAGTTCTTTTATTGTTCAGTTTGACAGTGAGCTCATGTTTGTTGCCTCCAGTGTGGGTGGGTGGCACTGTTTCTGTCTCTTTCACGGTTTCATTTTAAACTCTGCCACAAACTTTCAAGTCAAGGAGACATCTCGTTTTGCCAAATTTGTGAGGAAAAATCTTCCATTGAAAAGGAAAATGCCTTTTTGTTGTTATATTTTGACTTAAATTTTACAATAATTTGTTTTTTAACAGTTCTGCTGTGGAGGGTGAGGCCCAAGGTTTAATAAACAAAGGTTGTGGTCTATTGCTGAATTATCAATAATTTTCAATGCCAGTCACTCTGTGACAAACCTGACAAAGATTTTGCTTTGTTATTGTTGGTGATAACAGTGATAGGAGCTTGCCCCATAATCGGTGGGTTGCTGGTTTGAATCTCTGCTCCATCTGTCTCCGTTGTTGTGTCTTTTGCATATACTTCACTGGCCTTGTCCGCTGGTGGTTTTCAGAGGGCCCGGTGGTGCTGGTGCATGCCAACCTCACCCTGATATGAGGCTCGGGTCTGACAGACTGCCCCAGACCAGCTGTGGCTATTATCCAGTAGCTTTCTACTTGCAGTGTAGAAATATGTGAATTACTGACTGTAGTGTGACACACTTTGGGATCCTCTGGATATGAAAGAGTTATACAAGTATAGCCCATTTATCATTTTTTGCTGCTTATTTTGCTTCAAAATGGAGATATAAATAATTAGAGGCTTGCATTTTAAATGCATCGTGGAGGAAAGACACTGATATGAGGAAGGAGTCAGTTGCTTATTCTGGTGGAAACATAAATAATTGACTATCTGCACAGGATCAATAGTCACTTTCTTTACTTCCCACATACCAATGTCTTAACTGCAATTCTATATTTCTATGACAATTCTGTGTAACACATCTGGCACTACATCTGCTGTGTCCCAAGGAGCTACTCTGGTTAATCTACTGCATTAAATTCACAATCAACTGCAGTGTCT